ATTCAATTGAATCATTTTAATTCATTGGGAGTTTGGAACTGGCTATGACGTATTAGAATGAATAGTGGTAGTGAAGAAAGCTAAGAACTGCTAATATCATCCAAATTTTGTTTTGCTTGACCTTTGGAAGACGGAAGGGACGATGCAGGGTGTGGGATGTAAATGTTGGTCCACTAGAAATTTTTCTTTTAGGTGAACCCATGAGGTCCCTATAGGTATAGAAGATTGGGTGATGTCCATAGAGATTAGTTGCCCTTCCATGAACACATTCTCATTTGCACCACAACATAATAACTTTTGGAATTTAGTTAAATGCCCCTTCTTTTCAGATTTTCCTGTGTTTAGCAAGCAACTTTAGCCACCAACCAAGTAAAACAAGCCACTTTGTAGGGAATTTTAGCTTTTCATACATGTTACCAAGGCCAATTGCATGCTTGCTGCCCTGTATTTGATAAGACGTGATGGGAAAATTTGACTGTACAGGTCTCTTTGCTGTTTCATTCCTATTGCAGTGAATCTTCAGCATCTCTGATGCCTTGAAACTTCTCAAAGCTCCTCCAAAAAATCAATAGTTCTCTCAATTTCCCAGTCATTCAACAATCTTCTAAGTTAATATTCCAACCTTGCTGTCCCCAAACATCTTCTGTAGTTGCTTCAGGCAGTAAAGTGAGATTATAGATGTCAGGAAATAGGTCTTTCAAAGGCCCATGAAGAAAGTTTGATCACTATTACCATGGTGTATTTGTTGGAGCATATGAAGAGAAAGGAACCAGAGATGCTTCATAAAAAGGGCTACTCCAGTACATTTTTAAAGCTAGTAGTATAGATCTTTTCTCCCATTGGTATTGATGGGATATATTGAATGATGTATAGGACATTAGCTTTATGAACTCCCTTACCTGCTGATTTCTAATAGGGAGTATGGATTTCTTGCTTAGATAGAGCATCTGTTTGATGCTGTGACTAACACATTTATGATTATCTTGTAAAGAAAAACAAATCATCAGCTGTGCACCCCCGGGATTAGTCGGGGCTCAAAGAGACTCGGACACCCGGTGCAAATCAAAAAAAAGAAAAACAAATCATCAGATTCTTAATTGTGGAATACTATAAAACAATATCTAGATTCAAGTACTTAAAAGAAAAAAAAATGAAATACCTTGTCAAAAAGAAGAATCTAAATTATCAGTAGCTCCATTATATGTCACATAACAAAATAGACTCTAAAGAGGTTAAAGAAGAATGACCAGATGTGTCTTGCAATTTGGAAGTGTAGGAATGGGTAGCTGCTACTTTCCTCCTCCCTGTTGCATATATATTGAAAAGGTAAAAAGGATGACACTTTCTCGGTCAGATCTTGCTATTCCCTGCTCACCAACATCTAGTAGATAGGGGCTGTTAGGAGTTTATTTACAGGGCCTTGGGTTTTTGGGGGTGATTTCAATATTGTCAGATATGTTTCAGAAAAGAGGAACTGCTCCAGAACCTCTGTGTACATGAATGATTTTTCTGATGTTATCGTGGACATGGAGTTAATTGATCCACCACTAGAAGGGGGGAACTACACTTGGGCCTGATCCAACCCGGAAGTTGTTTCGAGGATAGACAGAATTATGTGCTCCTCTGAATAGGGGGAGAGTTTCTGCAATGTGAAGCAAGAACTACTACCTAGAGTGTGTTCTAACCATGCACCAATTGCACTTAAAAGTGTCAGTTGGAGTCCCACAAAATCATATTTCAAATTTGAAGGATGGTGGTTGGAGACTGAGGATTTTAATGAAAGAATTAAAGATTGATGGACATCTTTTGGAAGTCACACATCTCCAATATGCAGATGACACTCTCATCTTCTGTGATGCAAAAGAAAGCCAACTTAAGATCTGGAGAGTGATACTCATTCTTTTTAAGCAACTTCGGGTCTCCATATCAACTGGAGAAAAAGTCTTATTTTTCCAATTGTTGAGGTGAACAGAATGCAACATCTGACAGAGATCTTTGGAGGAAAAATAGGTCAACTGCCAAAAGTATATTTGGGAATGCCTTTGGGAGCCAAAAGCAAATCCAATGAAATTTGGAATGGGGTGGTGGAGAGATGTGAAAGAAGACTATCTAGATGGAAAGCACAGTATTTGTCTAGAGGTGGAAGATTGACCCTGATCAACTCAATCTTAGATGCTTTGCCAACATATTTGATGTCACCTTTTCCTCTCCCATCTAAGATAGAGGAAAGAATTGATGCGTTAAGGAGGATTTTTTTGTGGAATGGAGAGAAAGAATACAAAGGATTTCATTTGGTCAAATGGAAGACTATAATTCTTTCAAAGAAACAAGGTGGGTTAGGCATTAGAAACTTGAAGAAACAAAACAAAAGTCTTATGATGAAGTGGTTGTGGAGATCTCCTAAAGAGGAGCAGGCCCTTTGGGTTAGAGTGATTCAGGCCAAGTACGAGAAGATAGACCACTGGAAAACTAAGGAAGTGACTTCTGCCTATGGTATTAGCCTTTGGAGATCAATTAGAAATTTGTGGCATAGTTTCTTTCAAAGAACTAGATTCAATGTAAACAAATGGAAGGAAGATTTTGTTTTGGGATGATAACTGGTTAGGAAATGGCAGCCTCAAGCAGCTCTTTCCGGACATCTATCTGTTGAATCAGCAACAACAGGCCAATGTGCAAGAAGTTTGGTTCATCCATGGATGAAACTTAACATACAGAAGGATGATACAAGATTGGGAGGTGGATATACTAGTTGAATTTTATGGCACCCTAGACCATTTTGGAGGATTGAAAGAGGGAGAAGAGTGAAGACACTCTCAGGTGGATTAATCACATTAAAGGTATCTTCGCAGTTAGCTCTGCCTATAAGAACCTGAATCATATGGGAAATCAACTCAAATTTTTGCCTTGGAAGCTTATTTGGAATGTCAAAATTCCATATAAGGTGGCAGTCTTTACTTGGTTGGTAGTAAAAGAGGCAGCACTTACACTGGAGAATCTCATGAAGAGGGGAATACATATGTGTCCTAGATGTTATTTTTTGTGAGCACAGGCAGAGACAATCAAGCATTTGTTTCTTCACTGCAGGCTGGTTAGACAACTTTGACACTTATTTATCAGCTTCAGGGGGACAAGTTGGGCCATGCCACAAAGGGTAAGTCAGGCTATAGAAAGCTGGAACAATGAAGATAGTGACAGTATAGACCAAAGCAGATGGAGATTGTCCAGCAGTGATTTGGTGGATCATATAGAAGGAGAGAATTATGAGATGCTATGAGAGCATTAGTAGTCCTTTACACGGGATTAAAATGAATTGCATTATCACTTTTTGCTATTGGTGCAGTTTTGAGTATGTAGATAATCCTATAGCTATTATAGATATCCTAGGTTCTTTGTAAGATGAAGTAGGATCTAGTTTAGTTTTGTTTGAGTATACTCAATTGTATGTAGCTCCATGATGTAAATTTCCCAACCTTTAGTGCTGAAGATTAGTACACAAAACTCTTACCTTTGTCAAAAAAAAAAAGGGTCAAATCCCTCTTGGCCATGGAGACAAATCTGGAAAAGCTATGCCCCCTACAAGGTTCAGTGTTTTCACTTGGCTGGCAAGCAAAAATGCATGCCTAACTAAGTGCAACTTACAGAGGAGAGGAATGACTATATGCAGGAGATGCCTCTCTGTAAAGAACAATTGGAGGACACCAATCATCTCCTTCTGCATTGTAAATTCACATCTCAGTTATAGGACCTCTTCTTCATTATACTAGGAATCACGTGTCATGCCAAGAGATGTCTCAGTTTTTCTTCAAGGTTGGACAACAGGAGGAAGGAGTGGATTTGAATTGAAGCTATGTAATGCCATCCCTGCTGCAATTTGGTGGATCATATAGTGAGAAAGAAGCTCTAGAATTTTCGAAGACAATGGAAAATGTAATTAGTCTTAGGTTTCTTTGCATATGTACATGTTAGACAGGATGTTGAGGATGTAGAAGCCTTACTCGAGTTTATTAGTTCTGGTCACAGTCAGTAAGGCTTGTTTTTTGCAATTGCTTCTAATCACCAACATTCTCTTGATGCTAGTTTTCATTTATAAAATTACCTTTAAAAAACATGAGCTACAACTCTCCACATTTCTCCTTTGAAGATTTGTTTAAGTAAGACGAGCATCATGTGTAGCTATCCGTAAAATAGCATAAAACAATATCACATGCTTAAATGAAAATCCAAATATGAAATATCTAGGAGCTCATATGTCTTAACCTTGGTGGACAGAGTTACTTGGTACCTGCTGTAGGTGGGAGGTGGCAGGTATCCCATGGAATTAGTCGAGGTGTGCGAAAGTTGGCCTGGACACCATAGTCATAAAGAAAAAAAACTCGGAGTAAACAGGGCGAACTATTTAAGGTGTAAAGTGTTCACAAGGTGTTAGTCTAAGGCTCAAAGTGTATATCAGGTGAACGCCTCACTTATCAATGTGTTAGCCCTACAAGAGTTTAGTCCCTATGGTCACTCGGATTTCTAGGGGGCTGCTTGCCTTGATGCTTTCTCTTGCGAGTTCCATTGTCTTTAGACTTTGGGGACAACTTACCACCTATTGCTGACACATGAGTAGGACGGGAACTAGGAGCATTCATTTTGGCATTAAAAAGTTCCTCTTGCTTGTTAGTGTGGAATATATCCTTTCAAGCCAGTCCCTTCTGGAATATGCCTTTTGGTTGCTTCTTAGAAAAGAAAAAAACTTGGTTAAATCATTTCTTTGCTCCCTTTATACCACTATATTTGGAGCATTCCATTAATTTATTACAAACTCATTCATCAAAGTCAGCTGAAATGTGGTCATGATTTTAAGATTGTAGAGGGCTAAATATTTTTGACTCATGCTGTTCATCTTTGAGATACTTGTTTACTTTCGAATCCTGGCTGGTCATAGTTTTTGGTCTTAGTCTGCTAAGATTGGTCTCGACCAAACTGATGAATGGTTTACTTGCTATTATATTTTGCAGAACGATTTATAGTCTTATCATACAACATACTAGCTGATTACCTTGCTATTGATCATCAGAGAAAACTTTATTTTCACATACCGCAACATATTTTGGACTGGGAATGGCGTAAAAGAAGTATCCTTTCTGAGCTTGGATGGTGGTCAGCTGATATATTATGTCTTCAGGTTATGACCCTTTTCTCAATTAATGTTGACCTTCTATACTCTTCGAATTGTGGTCAATCACAGTGACGTTGTGGAATAGGCATAGATTGATGCGGTATGATTCAGGATGTTGGAAAATATTCTAAATTTTAATATTTACGGGTTCTCTCTTCCAGCTTGGTATGAAAGGTGCAGTACATCAGTGAATTGATAATTTTGTTTGTAAATGTATGTCTATAGGCCCCTGAAGAAAATTTTAAAACCATGGTTAAGGCAAATAGATTTTTTATTTATAAAAAAAAATATATTTTCCTCCATTTGATCTTCATCTATATATGTATGTGTGTATATGTGTGTGAAAGAGAGAGTTATGTATATAGTGAGAAATAAGAAACATGGGATAAAGAATTGGGAGGATGCGTACAGATAATTATCAATTGACAGAATCTTTGAAGATAAGTTTTATGCTTGAGTTCTTTTATGTTCACACTCTTCAATATAAATTGTTGCATTTCTCAGTGGGTTACACTAAACTTATAAGTTTCATGTAATCCTAGTCTATTTACACAATATGTGTAGCACTTCTCTTCAATATGGTGCATACTACTTCTATATATGTGTGTGTGTGTGACTTTGTACAAGCAAGGAATTTGGTGAATATATATGCAAGCTAGTCATCGATCATATAAACTGTGGCAATGTGTCCTAAGAGTTTCTCTTTGATAAGTGAAGAGTGACAAACTATGAAGTGCTGCTTGATCATCATGCATAATCTCTATGTGAATATATCACCAATCTCTCCAGTTTCAAATCTTTGAATAGTTGCTTCGAGATCATCTCTAACACAATGTAGAAAATCAAAGAAAGTGTATCAACACTTTGTTTTCTTGGTGTAAAGAAGAGGGTATAGAAAGAGCTGAACAGTTAGTAGACTTTTTAGGATCTGTGTAATTATTGTTACTCTCCTTGTATTGACTTTTGGTCTTATAACTTCTTTTGGAGGTTTGCCAGCATGCCCTTAATGCTGAAGAATACAATCTTACCTTTCTAAAGAAAAATATGTGTGTGTATGTGCGCATATATTTTATCTTCTGTCCAAACTTAATATAATCAATCTTGTCCTGTCCCCTTTATAATCATCTTTCCAGGAAAGAAAAGTTTTTTTTGTAAATTAATGTAAGTCACCAATGACCCTATTTATCATTCTTAACCTATAAGTTTGTGTTTCATTGTTTTATTTTTATATAATTTCTAGAAGTAACAATTCTTGGTATGGCGTATGATGTTTCCTCATTTCAGGAGGTTGACAGATTCCAGGAGTTGGAGGCAGAGTTGAAGTTGCGTGGATACAGTGGCATCTGGAAGGTTTTTGATGCTTTCATGCTATTTATCACATGTCGAATAATTTTACAAATTATTTGTTGGTGGACTTACTGTTGATTAATATGTTGTGGAACAAGTACCCATAGCGAGGGCCCAACCGAACCCAAATGTATCTGTATTTTCCCAATTTCATACATTATCATGAATCAACATTTTGTTGTGAAGTGCAATGTGTAGAGGAATGACGACCCAATAATAAATTTAGCAAACATCTTGGAGGGAGGATTTCTTACTTGATTTTGGAATGCTGAATAATCCTCCATGTGTTTCAAAACAAGGAGGGTTTATAATTTCAGTTGCTAATTCGCTAAATTGGAACCATTATATGATTTCCTTGATAAATTCCAAGTCTTTTGTTTTATAGTAATACTTTCTTGTGCAACGTGGAATTGATTAACATGATTTATATTTGATGTAGAGGCGTACCGGAGATCCAGCTGATGGATGTGCAATATTTTGGCATGCATCAAGGCAAGAAAATTCTATTCCTTTGCACCCTCAAATAGGAAGGATAGACTAAATTGACAGTGCTGGTACTTAATTGTTGCATGAGGAAGCCCTTATTTAAAATGTTTTTTGTTTATTGATCCAGTGTTTTGTACATTTGATCTAGTCATGCCTTTGCAGATATTTGACACTTTTAGCTGTTATGTGTGTTCTTCAGTGGCTTTTATCTAGCTTGTTTTTTCTGGATTTTATGCAGTTCTTACAGGCTCTATTCAATTGTGATTTCTAATAGTTAGTCCTCAAAATTTGTCTTCCTTCCTTTGGCAATCCAATAGAACTCTGTTGCACATATAATAAATGACTTAAGGATTGATAAAAGTGTTCTTTATGGAGGAGTGCTAACAGCATAATATTTCTTTCTCCACCGGCAAACACAATCAGCCAACCATAGTGTGTATTGTTTCCTTGATAAGCTCATCACATTTTACTCCCCTCATTCTATGATCAACATAATTCTTTCTGCATTAGCAAACATAATCAACCAATCAATCACATTTTAGTGCATATTGTTTCCTTGATTAACTAGTTAGATTTTACTTGCCTCATGCTATGATCATCATCGTCTGAACTTCCACGAATATCAAAATTTTGTCCCTATAGTTCTTATATTGTTAGTATTTTTGCTTCCTGGTTTCCATAGATTTGTATCTTTTGGCAGTTCTACGCCTAATATTATATTGACAAATGTTAAACTCTTGTTGTACTTCATTGCCAGTGATGGTTGTTTTCTTATGACAACTGCTGGTCCATATATGATGTATCATTTCTGGTAAAAACATAGTCACTGATTTTGGCTGTTTGAAAAGCTTGTATATAAGCTATTGAATATATTGTACTGATTTGCATAGTAATGAGGTACGTTGATGTGCTTACTAGCTCAGTGATTCTTAACTATGTGTCTGTTCAATGTAAACATTGGTGTCACAGAATCCAGTCTTATGTTACATCATTGCCACTTTTGTAGTATCTTTGGTAATGTGCATGTCTATTTGTGTGGATTCTGTACTTTACCTAAGCTGGAACTTGCTTGATATGCTCGAGGTCATTTAAACATGCTGGTAGTCATTTCTAGACTGTTGGCAAATATAATCTGACTGTATGTCTAGAGAACCGCAATTCCGGCATATTAAGTCTTACTCTTTTGCTTGATTAGTCTCAGCTCCTCAATGCACTATTCAACGATTTGTGTTATCATCTTAATTTTAACCTTTTGGCGCGAATACTTTTGGCAAGATGCAGTACGTGTGATGGCATCTAAACTACTGGTCCATGATATTATCTAGTCTGAATTTTATTTGAATTTTTATGTTAGATTCAAGTTGGTGCATGAAGAATTTATTGAATTTAAAAAGTTTGGGCTTCGGGATAATGTTGCCCAGATATGTGTATTTGAGGTGCGTAAATTCTTCTTAAGTATTTCATTGCTTTACTGTGGGTATCTTCAAGTTCAAAACTTGCTTTTCTGATGTTGTGTTTGTCTCTTGCTAACAGTCTCTTGGTCAGCAAAATAATTGTTCACCAGCTCCCTTAGCAAGGTAGGTATTCTTTGTTTTGGCAGTTGCACTGTATAACAACTTACTCTTGAATGTTTGATTTGTACCTTATTGATCAAATATCTGTTGAGGGCTTAAGGCCTCACTTCTGCTGGAACTTTTTGCATGCTAGGCCTCTTTTTTCATTTAGTTTTCATATTTTTTTCCTTATCGCCAACTAAATTTTTGCACTTGCAGCCCTGGTCACTCCAATAAGGTTGTAATTTGTAATACTCATGTGCTTTTCAATCCTAGAAGGGGAGAGATTAAGCTCGGACAGGTACTTTTTGTCAATTAATACTGTCTTTTCAATTTTCACCACATCAATGTGTGCATGAATTTATTCCGAAACAGCTATCCAGTACTTGTATATCCTATACTTGGTAGTTATCCAGTCATACGTTACTCTACTTCACACATTAGCAACCTGCTAGATTGTAGTCATTGCTCATGTATGTATCTTTACTGATTGTCCCTCTGTGCTAAAATGCATTTAAAGAGAAACTAGTATTTGTCATGTTTCTGTGATTAAGTGAATACAACCTCTGTGTTTATCAGAGGAAAGTGCTTAATAGAATAAATTGACATGACTTTAGAAAATCAATGTCCAAGGCTGTTATTCTTTCTTCGCTCCTGCTATATTTTACGTTGTTAACTCTTTATTCTCTTTTATTATCTACTGAAGTTATTTATAGTAGGGGACAGGGTAGACCTAAAATCACATGGAAGGAAGTGGTCTTAAAAGACCTCCAAATGCTTGGTATCAATACAGACTTAGGTAAAGATAGGGCACAGTAGGAGGAAAGAATCCATATAGGTGAAAGCTACTAGTTGATGATAGGTTTTAGACTCGTATAGAACTTTTTTTTAATCATTATTATTTTATATATATTTTTGATGTTTTTTTCAGTTTTATTATTTATTATGAGGATGATATGATATGAGCTTAAATGAAGATTCACATAGCCGATCCCAACTTATTTAGGACTGAGGCGTAGTTGTTATTGATGTTGGTGAAGTTATTTATAGCACCCTATAGGTGCATTTGGGATGCTGTTCCCTCTGTAATGGCATGGTAAGGGTAAACACAGAGTATCTGAAGTGTATTTTGTATTCTTGAATTATGGCGTCTCTCAACCTCTTTCTCTTAATTTTGTTTATCAATCATTCTTGTAATAAGAGGACATGAGGGCTCCCATGTTGGCCCTTTTTAAAATATATATATATATATATATATAAATATATATTTTATTTATAGATTTTCTTAACCTGAAAGTTGGATAAGTTGATATTTCATGGAGAGATAAAACATTAAACAGCTCCAATCTAGGGAAATCAGTTGTGCTTAGAAAGGCAACGAAATATCAATGTCCCCCAAACTTGATGGTAGAATATAATCTGGAATGATTTGAGTATTCTGATATGAGGACCTGTTTTCCTCAAATAGTTTCCATATTGGGAAGAAGCAGATGTTTATCAAGAAAAGAATCAGCATTGAACCTATACTGTTTTACTTGATCTCCAAATTCTGCAAAACTCCGACAGTAAAAACAAAACTGTATTTATCCCAAACACAGCATTTAAACGGCTTCTATAGGAGTTAGTAGAATCCCCTTCTCTTTCTGCTAAATCTGTTTGCTGATGCTCATACAATGTTATCCTCCCTTAACGATATACTTGGCAGAACTGTCTTGCTTGTTACTCTGTCTTCAACTCAATAGGTACTTAATAACGTGAACATCCAAATTCTTGAATTTCTTTAATATAAAGTAGACTAGTTAATTCTTAGTCATAAACTAAAAGTTCGGCCAGCAACACTTAAAAATTGAATAATGAAGGTTCATTAGAACACCGCGAGTTTTGTGTTTTAAATTTTTACGAGACTGATGCAAAACTTGTAGGTATTCAAGGGTACTTCTGAGGTCAAAAAAGGATAATAGGTACAGATATTACTGAAAGATGTAAACATTAAAGTAGAAGAAAAAAGTAAAAAGAGAATTTATGGGGGGCGAGGTATGAGATAATTACACTCTCTATCAGTTGGGGAAACAATGCTACCAAAATTAGCCCATGTTTTACCTTCTTACCTAATTTGGCGCAATTTTTATGTAAATTGAAACTTACTTTTCAACTATAGACCAACACCTCTCAATCACCATTATCTTCCGTTCTTCTTCCTTATTATGTTTTCACATAAAACATATAGGAGTACTAATTTTAAACGGAGTCAAACAGAAAGAAAATTGTGTGCAGTAGTTACTAGTTAGTACATAGCAATGTGCAAAAGGAAAACAAAATAATGAAGGGAAACCCACAAAAGCAGAGAAGCAAATTTTTGTTTTGTGATATATTGAATACTGTAATAAAATTTTAGCCATTAAATGTATGAAATGACACGTGTCACAAATCAAAGAGGGAACTGGAGGGGAGCCGCTTCCAGTTCGGAATTTTGGGGTGGATGTAGCTTGCAGAAACTCCATAGGTGTCCATTGTTGTAGCTCGAAACTTCAAAATTTTAAAATTGGATTTTCTAAAACAAGCTTCATCTTGAGTGGGTATTGCTACAAAAGATCGGGTAGGAATTGAGGAAACTAATCTGAAATGTAGGGTGATCTGGTGTAAATTTTGAGGTGTTTTGGATAGACTTGGTGCTTGGACTCAAAGAAGAAGACGAATTCAATTTTTGTATATTAGTGTATAATATTGTGTAGTACTGTATATGGATGTATAAACACCTCTTATAATTTTGTATAGTGTTGTACATTAGTTGTACAATATTGTAAATCAAGTTTTTAAACATTGCTGTAAAAAAGATATATGAAAGTTTTGTATATTGTTGTATACGGAATGTATGTTTTATATATTATTGTATATTGGATGACTAATGTTCTATATCAGATTTTTAAAACATTGTTGCAAGAAAGTAGCGACTATGCCACTGATTTGGCTACCTAAACAACGGCAAAAACGTTTTCTTAACGGGAATGAGTTATTGTGTTTTGGGCTAAAGATTTGCAATGTAAGTCTTGGGCTATATTTTTTCAATGTAAGTTGGGTAATTATATTTTTCTGAAATTTTCCCAAGTTTTTGTGGGTTAAGGCTCAACCTGCTCTTCCCTTCCCCCTCCCGTCTCGTCCCGTTTCCATCCTACTTCCCTCCTTTAGGATAGCATACTTGGCAGATCTGTCTTGTTTGTTTACTCATAAAGTTGGTTTGCTTTCAATTCATGATTGACGCATCTTTTTTAGTTTAGCATTTTAGATGCAAGGGATATACCACTTGATTGGATTCAACTCTTCTTCTGTTTAGTGTAAATAAATTTTGCGACAACCAGGTTAGGGTGCTTCTGGATAAGGCTGATGGTGTTTCAAAACTTTGGGACAATGCTCCTATTGTGATTTGTGGAGATTTCAACAGTACACCAAAGGTGGGTTCAATAATTCCCATTGAAGCGCTTATGTCATGTTTTTGCATCAGTGCATATATTCTACTCTTACTTACCTGTGAGAATGTTATGTTGTGCAATAGTTCTATTCATCTTTTTACACTTTACCAGAATCCATGCAATAATTCCTTATTCTTTTTCTCCTTTACCAGAGTCCATTATACAACTATCTTGCCGAGGAAAGAGTAAGCTTCAGACAATATTTTCTTTCTTGCTGCTGCCCCCACCCCTTTTTCTTCTGTGCCTTCTCTGAGGATATGATGATTCTGTGCTTTGGAATGCATTTTGGATACTTTTTTCCCACAGCTAGACTTATCAGAAGTGCCTCGGGATAAAGTGTCAGGACAGGAATCAGCTACAATTAATACAGTGAAGCATAGCTTCAATGCTAGTGCTAGGTATTGACTTCTTACCTTGTTAAAAGAAATTACAGTAAATTCATGGAGACTTTGTAGTACAGTTTTTTCTCCTTGGCCTTTTCTTCTGAATTCCTTGGAACAGCTTATGTATAATCTTACAAGTTTTCTACTTCAATATCATCGCTCAACTAGGCCCCAATTCCTAGCTATTTGGGGTGGACTATATTTTTTATTTTTTTTGATAACCGAGAAATCCGTCTGTGACCCGCCCTTTGGACCAATCACAACCTTCTAAACTCGGTGGATAATGGGCCCGCCCCTCTACCCTTCTCCACTTAAATACCGGGTTTCGTTTTGCATGGTCTGGGGGTGGACTATATTAATCCATCCTGTATATCATTCTTCTCTATTTAGGCCCAGTACATTACAATACTTGTATATAATGTATTTTTAAGGTAAATCGGTGACTTTCTAAAACTAGAGGTTCTAAAATTCACTCTTATCTCTACACTGGCATACAAGTTTCTAATCAAATTAGAAAAGACTCTTGACAAACACTGGACTTGATACAAGTGTAACAACAACTAAGCATTAATCCCTATAGTTGGTATTGCTAATGTGGATTCTCTTTTCTTTTCTTTTTTTGGCGAAACTAAGAGATTATCATTGTAGGGAGATGCCATATTACTATAGTTGTAAACCTCTTAGCTCCATTACAGAAAAGACAAAAAAATATTTTTTTAGCACCGGTACATGAAGTCTATGCTAGAGCTTGGGAGCTAACAAAGTCCAAAAACAAGTCAACGATTAACAGGGGTGAGAAAGCTCCAACTGAACAAACAAACTGAACATTTAGCCTTTGTTAATGTGGATCCTTTGCTTTCATAGTGTTCTAGAGAGTTTGTAGGTCATTCTAGAAAATTTAGCTCCATGTGATTTTTGGTTTGCCTCTTGTCCTTTTGGTCCTCTAGGCTCAAAGGATCATTGTACTGTCACACCTTTAGGCCGGTTTATTGAGAAGTTCACTAAATATATCAAATTATCTCAAGCACCTTCTGTCATTTTATTCTCAATGTGCTTTACTTGCATTCTCTGTCTGATCTAATCATTTCTAATCTTGTCTATTAATAAATAACTTACCAAATGTGGTGTCCATTTCTTCTGAGGATTTGAATTTGGCCTGTAGGAATTGCAATGAAAAAGAACAATAAAATGCAAGATCATTATGGGCTGTCCACCAGTCCTTTCTTTGGATTTGTTGAGATTGAAGCACATACCTATTAAAAATTGCATTTGAGTTTCTATATTTTATATTAAGGAAGGAATCTTGTGTTCTTTCAGTAAATGTGAAGGAAGCTTCACTCTCTGATCTAATCATTTCTAATGTTGTCTTTTATTGATAAATAACTCACCAAATGTGGGGCCCATTGTTTCTGAGGATTTGAATTTGGCTTGTAGGGATTGCAGTGAAAAAGATAATAATATGCAAAATCATTATGGGTTGTCCATCTATCATTTCTTTTGATTTGTTGATCACATATTCATGTTGAGCTTGAAGCACAGGCCTATTCAAAAATGCAATTGGGTTTCTATTTTTTACTAAGGATCTTGTGTTCTTTCTATTTTTGAATGCTTTCTGGATCCACCCTTGATGTTTCTAAAACTGGAATTCTCTTTTGATACCACAGACACCAGGATGCAGTTAACTCTACTCAAAGCTCTGAAGTGGCTAGTGAGAGAGAGGTAAAAGATAATAAGATGGCATCAGCTGAACAGAAATTTGAGACTCCTGAAAAAGATTCAGGAACTGGATCTTCTGCATGTACCTTATCTGTGCCTCAGAGTTCTGTAGAATATGAGCTGAGAAGTTCTTGTGTGGTTATCTCATGCTCCGAGAGTACGGCTGATTTGCCTAGAGTAATCCATGGTAATGTAGCTGACAGTTTTGGTTAAACTATTTCAATTTCTTTTGTTGTTTTTAGAGAAAATCCAAGTAGTTCTTGTGATGAAAGCTCATTTTTCCAGTTGAAGGTACGAGTCATGAAGCCAATTCATTAGAATCTTGTCAAGAAGATGAATATGATAAGGACTCCGAGAGTGGATATAACAATGCCAACCCTAATGCCACATCTACCTCTTCTCACAAAATTTTTGAAGCAAAAGTGTGTTCAGGAATTGATTCAGAGAGAGAAAAGGATGGGCAGTCCAAAGTAGGTGATTTTGATTCTGAAAATGTGGTGAGCATTCACAGACCTACAATACCCCATTGTTCAGATGTGTCGTTGACGGGGCTATCTTCTGATTCTTCAAATGTACATGAAGTTTCTCTTCCGGAAAGCTCTGAAAGTGTGTTGTCAATTGATAAAGAGAGTTCCCCTAAAATATCACGTGAACTTAAAAACTCACACACAGAGACTTGTTTTGATGTCTTGTTGGACGAAAAGATGGACAACTTGTCACTTAGTGTGGTCTCTGAAGGCACAAAAGAAGATGAACTTTTAGTCGAAAATCGTGAAGCATTTTTGTCCCAGTTACATGATGAAGCTGGTTCCTTTCCATCAGACTCTGACCAACTTCAAACAACTTCTCTTGAGGAATTGGATGAGTCATTAAAGAAGTGTGACGGTTCCTTAGAGTCGTGTTCTTTAAGTGATGAGATTGCAGATGATGCTCCTAATTTGGATTCTGAGGTTGTTGACAGAGAGAACTCGACTTATGATCCATCAGCTTGGACTCCAATTGATATAGAAACTGCTACAGGCAATGCAGATTGCAAAGTAATGGAACATAATCTGAAGTTGACAAGTGCATATAGGGAAGTAGAGGTAGCTCTTATTAAAAAAAACTTTTAGTCTATGTGTTTTTTCCAATCATACGGCTGAGCAATATATTCTTCTCTTGGCTGGTAATCTGGTTACTACTTGCTCTTTTTTTAACTCTGCAATTCACATATTGGCAGTTGCAGGATTTTTCTGGAACAAGAGATTCAACAGGAGAACCTGAGGTGACCAGCTATCACAGGCTTTTCATGGGTACAGTTGATTATATATGGTGAGCATCCTTTAAATTCTTCCTTAGCTTCTGCTGCCTTTTTATTCACGACATATTTGAAATGCTCTTGATATTAGGGTACCTAAAGAATCTAACCACAATCTGTGGTTAGTGGTTTTGGTATTCCATCAGTTAGAAATCAAGAATGACATGAGAAACTTATTGTTCAAATTACACTCAGGCGTTCTGAAGGCCTTCAGACTGCGAGGGTGCTTGCTCCGATTCCAAAAAATGCCATGCAATTTGTGAGAGGTTTCCCTACTAAGGTATATTGATAAAAGAAACTCTGACTAATTTCTTTACTGAACAACAGTGCTGATTCATCCTTGCTGCACAGAACTCTGTTTTTATTATGCATGGGGAAACATTTGTTTGATCTCCTCTCATATAATGGCCTTCAAATTTTAGTGCTGTGGATGCCAAATTTAGATTTTAATTTGTGATAGGGATGAAATGCAACTTAACTTCCTGCAATCCTTTATCACTTATGTACCTGCTGCCTTAAGAATAGCCTGTAAGTTGACTTTTATGACACATTAGCTACAGATCTTTGAAATATTAATTCATGATCATCGACTTACTGTCATATACTTGAGAGAAGCTCAGATACAGTTTCCAGGTCAAGATAGATGCACATTTGTTAACGTAAACCTGGCAGGTATGGAAGTTTCATTAGACTGTTGAGTGCAAAGAGTGTGAGACTATGAGAATAGAAAGATGTATTCATGATTTGATAGTATGAGTACTTTAACACTTAAACTTTAGGTGTCAAACATGGCGCAAGATATTTGCCCAATGTGGACAATGTCTAAGGTTTTGTCTTTAAAATTAACAATTCCAAATATGACTGGTGAAATTACGAGAGTAACTTACTTTGGTGAGAAATGTAAGTCAAGCTAAATATAATTTTTGCTTCTAAAGTAGGGCGAGGCTTCTATGCCCATGAACATCACAGGGAAACTTTGAAGTTTCTCAGAAAGGTAAGTTCCATTTTGATCAAGAGGTAATATACTTATTCAATTTGGAAATAATATTGAATTTGAAGATGGAGAAAAGAAATATCCATAACTGGAGAAAAATCCTTAGAGGTTGTGAGAAATAAAAGAAAAGTTTGAAAGAATTAAAAGAATATGGAATGAAATGTCTTACACCTGAATCCTTTCATGGCCACGCTTAACAATAGACAAGATTGTTTTTTCCCTTTTTGATGGGGTCACTAACACTATATTACATTAGGTTTAATTATTTACACTTACATGATTACACATATCTAACACTCACCCTCAAGTTGATTCATGCAGTCATATATCTTGAGCATGTTTCATGTTATTGATCAAGCAAGCTATGTTTTGTAACTGTTAATATTGTGCACCCTCTGGGTTCCACCGAATGAAGCCAAAAATTGTAGAACTAGGAAAACAAAGAAAATTTTAGCAAGTTGGGTGGCATAAGGCCGTTCTCTAATATGCGGAAGATATTTGGATCTCTATCTAGATAATAGATGCTTCAATACCATGTGAATAGGAGGAAAGTTGTTTGGCAGTGTAGTCTGGCAATCAATGAAGTTGGAAAGATAAGGATGGGAGACTAAGGTTCAGATCTTAGCTAAGGCAAAAAAGCTAGTTTATTTCGTTTCATCTGTCTAAGCTTTGTAAGAGAGTTACGCAGCATCTGTTATGGTGGGAAGATCAGATACCCGATTTGGTGGTCAAGATGCACACTAGTTGGCCCAAACAGCATTATTATTTAAAAGAACTAGTGTATTTATAACTTGACAATTTGACAGAAGCAAGACTTACCTATTTGTAATTGTCAAACATATCACACGTAATATGGAAAATACTTAACATAAGAGACGTGACACTATTCAATGAGTACTGGATGTACCTATTTCTAAATGCCAAACATAATTTAGATCATGCAGGATAACAACTAACATAAGATATTAACGCTTCTTATATTCTACACTCACACTTGGGGGTCATTTGGATGATGGCTAGTTATGCAAGGATTTTAATACATGTAACAATTTTATATAATGTTAGGATAACACTGGGCTGTTATTAGTTATGCGGGGATTGCAATGTATGAATATTACATATCATAGCTTTGAGGATATTTGTCAGTTTAGGTGTTCTTATTCAGATTGCTGGTATGAGTAGTCTTATTTCACATCTATCCTGCATTAAGTAATACATAAATTCCTGCATAGATTTTGTAGTATTAGTAATGGAGAAGTCTATATCAGAAACCAAATGTTGTACTATTTGTTATACATGATTCATTTTAATAAATCAGAATTTTATGTCAGAAACCAAATAATTTAGTTATATTGGATTTTATATCGGAATTATTTTCTCTTATATGACAAACCAAACGAGCTGTTAACAATAAGAGGACAGAGAGACTATAGAAACACCATTCGAGTTATGCACTTAAACCTTTAAGAAATTCACATTAATTAGTTGACTGGTCATTTATCCTTCTGAGAGGCAAGTGGGTATTTCTAAAGGGCTGAGACTGGAATCACTCGAAGCATGAGAAAAATTTTAGCAGCCAGTAACATGTCTAGAGATGTGCCCATCTCCATAGTCAGTAAAAGCTATATTGACCTCCTTTGAAGTATTATAAGTAGCATTTTTTATTTCTCTTGTTTTTAATTTTTAGAATGGTGCAGTCATCTAAGAACTGAAATTATTTTTGGTAGTTCTGCAAAAGCAGTCATTTTTCAATCTTCTAATAATCATTGGTAGATGTCTTTTTTATGTTTTTTTAAACCGTACAAGCTATCAAAGGGAAAGCAACAATGCAATTGCAAAAAATGCATAATCCATACACCAAACATTTCTGTGTTAAAGTGCCAAACCCTGCTTACAATGGTAGAAAACACATGATCCGTGAGCTGTTTCTTTAGTTCTTCTTGGCATGCATGAGCACATGACATATGACTCAATTGTTTGTTGGGAAAAAAGTACATATTGGAATTAGTTCAGTTGTCTATGAACCATGCAGTTTCATGGTAGACATGAAACTTCTAAAGATATGGGCTCCCAGTAGTTTCAGCTATAACATGGATAAGATCTGCAAATGCCCCGTTCTCTTTTATATTCATACGAACTTTACATTAATAGATAGCATGAAGTGGAAAAAAATTATTACTCTATTACAATGCAGTCGAATTGGCTTATTCTGTTACAACTCTTACATTTGTTAGATGCACTTTTCATTAATAACTTGTCTTTTAGCCATGTGATTATGTATTGAACAGATTTTCTTCTTTCGTTGTTTCGCTACTATCCAGAAATGGGGAAGTGATCATATTGCTCTGGTTTCGGAATTTGCTTTTACAAATGATATATCGATTCACAATACTAGCGTCCAAAAGCAGTAAAATTATGTCCACTCCAAAGGACTGTATGAGTTTTCAGGTAAATAAAAGTTGAAGCTTTTTCATGCAGTCTTTGGAGGAGCATTCCCTCTGGTTTTCTACATAAATGTGTTAATACCGTCTTTTCTCTTGAATTTGGAATTTCATCCTTCAATTGGAGGAATTTCTAGAAGTTATAAACCAACGGTCCATCTTATAGCTTCATCCTTTGCAGTAAGTAGAACTTTTTGTTCTACTAGGGGGAAGAAGGGATAGATTCATCTTGGAAGAGCTTCAACCTGGATATGAAGAAAGGATAAAGGTGTTTAACCACTAATGATTCAAAATGCTAGTGCATCGATAAGTTAATTGATACTCGAGTTCTGCTTTAAAGGTAGTCTTTACTTTATCCCTTTTACCCATAGTGTTGGGAAGAAGTGGACTCTAGAGGTCCTACTAATTGAGCTGAGGAAGCAGATCGTAGTAATATCAAGTTCTTACTGCAACACATTTTGCTATCGTCAGAGTGTTTATCCTTAATTTCGATGGCTTTTTGTTTGCTAACTTGTTCAGTATTCTTCTTAAGCTTCAGATAAGATGAAAAATGTCATTGTTCACTTAATTTACAGCAAAAAAAGTAGTTGGAATTGTCTTTTCGAAAGAATTACAAATAGAAAGTGTGTAAGCTCTTGTTCAAACGGCATGACGAGTTTCCTCTCCCTTTAAACTATTACTTCATTTTTCTTTGTAAGTAAATACTTTTGTTGTGATAAAATCTTTTGGTAAATCATATCGCCTATACACCTAGGTAAATAGTGGCGGGATCAGGATTTTATACAACAAAAAAAAAAAAAATCTGACGAAATGGTAAAGTTGCTTCAACAATTTCAATATACTCAAAAAGTTGTTTTACCCTATTTGCCTATTTGCACAGGAGATTATTTTTAGTAAAAGGAATTCAGTCGAACCTTCTAGCTCTGCCCCTACTCATGTACAAAGATCCAATGTAGTATGTAACTATTCAACGGATCGTATATGTCAAATCAAAGTATTCCTAAAATGATTTCAAAACTGCTCGCTAAACTTACGTAGATATGCAATATATTAAGAAAATATTTATTACTTAATATACATATAATACAATTTTTATTCATCGATAATACATTTGTCACACTTTAATACACTTGTAATACATTGTGTCCATTTCTTACCAAACAAGCATAGTACATTTTGAAATACTTATATTATATTTATATTACATGCATATTCACTTTTAATACATAGTAGATTTATCATTGTATTGTTATGTATTGCTATCAATGGTACTCTCTCCATCCCTATTTACTTGTCAAATATTCCATAATTTGATTTCTCTTTTTGTCGTTTTTGACAAATCAAAGAACGATTTTTTTTCTTATTATATCATCAATTTATTGTCTTTGAAAAATGTAGTAAATAAATATATTAGGGATCTCATAGGGGTATGATGGCATACCCACTATACCAATAATTATTTTTTTAATAGGTGTGTCAAATCAAAATTTAACAGAGACAAAAAGAGTGATAAATATAAAGTATCGTTAATATTAATAATTATTTATTAAAAAAAATATTCACTCAAGTAGTTTTTTCTTCTTAGGCACAGTATTGGATCACAAAACTTGTAATACATTGTGTCTATTTCTTGTGAAATAAGCATAATACATTTTAAAATATTTATAATATGTTTATAATACATTGTTTGTGCCCTATTTTATCTGTTTCCACTAAAAAACAAAGTTATATTTTCTAAATCTTGCAGTTCCTTAGTCGTAGAAGTATTGCCCCCCCAACTTGATTGTGTTGGAACTAATATTAGTATATTTTTTAATACAAGTGTTGATTCAAGTATAACTTTTATTTACGATTAACAAATAAATGCACATTGATTGGCCATATTTATTTGGGAAAATTTACGTGAGGTACGATTTAAGTCCACTAATTGCATGTTTTGACACTTCACCTATTTTTAATTGTCATGTTTTGCTTTTCGAAAGTTAATTTGACTAATTTTCAAAGTTAATTTTAAATAATAAAAATTTAAATTTTCAAAAACTATACGAAAAGTACTATAAATTATAGTTTTTTTGCATATAAATATGATGACAAAAACATCATAAAATATTTATCAAAATTCTTATAATTTGACTCTAAAAAAAATAATCAGATAATTAAAAGTGAACCGAAAGAGTAATAGTTATCAAACACAAGGATAGATTTAATACCTAATTTCTCTTTCCCTCCCACACACAACACACCTCACGATAAAGTTTATTTTTCAAAGTGAGACATTATACGCATTGTATAAATCAATTAACACATAGCTGCCACTTCCCCACCAACACATTAATTATTTATACACGTTTGAAAGAAACTACCAACCAATTTGTAATCCTTACGGAAGTGCTGGCGTCCATTTTCTTCTCGTTTTTTCTATTCCAAGACGCATCATTTATAGTCAAACAACTGAGTCAACCAGTAGCCATATATATAGGAAAAATCCTTTTGGCCATAATTTGGTCGAATGGTAAAAGGACATGTTTACACTATAAATTAATTTATTTTTGGATATTTTTGCTCTTTAACTTAAAGGCATAATACATATATTGGACCCTCAACTTGGGTTCAAATTTTAACTTTGACCTCTAACTTTCATAGTGCACAAACAGACACTTTAACTATCCAACCTTTTAATAAATAAACACGCGATTTTTGGAGGCAAAGAGCGTGAAATGCAAACGCTCCCACGTGTATTAGTGAGCCACTCAGTGGCTACCAACTAATTAAATACTTTACACGTCCATTTTAGAACTAAAAAAAAATAAAATTACTTTTAATTAATATACAAGGGTATAGCTCTTTTTCCACAATGACAAAAAAAATTAGAAGCCATTTGCACTAAATATGAGCACAAATCATTTTAAAAGAGAGGAAAAAAAATTTGATTTGAAAGAGGAGGAAAGAGAAATGAGATTTTGATTTGGAAATATAAAGATATTATATAAAAGGGATTGTTTAAGGGTAGATTTGTCATTTCAACATTTTTTTACTGTTGTGGACCTCAAAAATTACTCCTAACTCGCGCAAAATACGTGCACATCACGTGTTTTGCCAGGTAGGACACGCGTGTTTATTTATTAAAAGGTTGGATAGTTAAAGTGTCTGTTTGTGCACTATGAAAGTTGAAGGTCAAAGTTGAAATTTGAAGTCAAGTTTAGGGTCCAATATATGTATTATGCCTAACTTAAATATTGAATATATTCTTTAATTATGTTTTCAATACATTGAAAATGATCAATGAGATTAATTATTAATGATTTCATAATTAAACATGAGAAAGAAATCACAATGTTAACCAAAGAAAACATAAGTCTCACCCACTTTTCTTACTTGAAATTTTCAAGATCTAAAAAAAACAATTTAAAATATGGCAGTAGTAGTAAAAAAATAAATATATATATACTATAATTTTTTCAATTTCTAAATTTCTTCCTTTCTACTTATTCTTTTTTTGTTTATTTATTTTTCATTTCTTATTTCTTAATGATAAAATAAAATAAAAAGTACAAAAGAGGAGTAAATTGTAGGCTATCTATTTTAGTTTATAATTTCTAATCATGAAAAGATAAATTATATCTAAATTTAAATATTAAAAATTTATATCTATAATACTCAAAATTAAAAATCTGAATTCACCAAGTTGGTAAAACAATTACTCTTATTTATTTAAAGGAGTTGTTGTTACGTATGGATTTTCTAGAAAAAAAGTTAAATGATAAATATATATTTTATCTGATTATACTTAAAATGTATGTGAGCGAACTATGAAGAAAACTGAAATTACCATCATGTTTCCTCTATTATGTGATTGCTTTCATATCCTCAAATGTATATGAATCACATCATACACAAATAAAGACTCATTAAAATTAATATTTATTTATTTATTTTAGTACTAGAGACGTATACAAATATTTTTTGGAAAAAAATATTGATGGTTCTTCATTGAAAAATTATAATAACTAGGAAAGAATATAGAAGTTCTTTATGCTTTCAAAATAAACTTTTATAAAACAAAAATTAAAATAAAAACATCTTCATAGTTTTCTGATGATAATGACAACACAAATTTGTTAAACATGAACTAGATCAAAGTTTCATCACATATATATTTTTCTTTATTAGTATTATTTGTTGTTTTATCAAAAAAATGTTTGTTATTAAATGATATGTTAAAATATTAAGTATACATAGTTGTAGTCACAATATTTTTTTTTTGCTCTCAAATTAATAATTTTAAAAAAATTGATTAAGAATTTTTAAAATTAAGTAATTTTATTGTATTTATTATATGAATAAATTTAAATTACCTATTTAAAAAATTATTTAAATTCATTTTAAAATAATTTTTAAATATAATGTAAAATAGTTCAATAATAACAGCCAAAATTCAAAATACTTTAGAATCAATAGATATCGACACAGTAAAGAAATACTAAAAATCATATGATTCATAAGTGTCGATCCTATTTCACAACAACCCAAGATAGTTACACATTAATGTTGTAGTTTTGATATTTGTTAATTATTATGTTGTAAAAAATTCAACTACATATTTAAATATTATGGTTTAAAAAATTAAATTACGTATTTAAAACTACATATTTAATTATTATGTTTTAAAAATTAAATTACGTAGTTCTATAATGTATTGATTTTTATCAATTCTAAAGTATTTTGAGTTTTGATTATCGTTATTGAAATATTTTTCAAATTATATTTAAAAACATATTTTTATGTATATTATTAACATGTATTTTAATTTTCTCCTTTGGTAGAAAATTTTCACACAACTTTTGTTTGTTGTGCCTCGACCATACTAAAAATTTTCGTTCATGCATACTTTTAGAAGTTTAGAAAATAGTAATAATAAATACTTGACTTTACTTTGGAAGGGAACAAGGTTAAATTAGTCTTTTTACGATTTTGGCCAAATTATGGCCACATAATTCTGGCCATTTAGCACTTCTTATATATATATATTAAGTTAATAATTCATGTTCATTGATTGAAAACTTGAATTCAAAAATATATTAAATAATGATAAATTAGTAAATTTACTTAGCTTTTTAATGCATGTGAAATCTAATTAAATGGTGACACATAAATAGGAATGGATGGAGTATTTCAATATGGACAATTGAGGAGCCGAAGCGTTATGAGTTATTTCAATATCGGATGATTGGGGAGCCGCAGTGGCATAGCCACGTGGTGGTTA